GGGGGGAAGTTAAATAACAAATGCCTTAATAGATGTGATGAAAGGTGAAAATGTGGAGAGAATGTAGAGGAAATTCACAGAGGGATCTCAAAACACAGGGGTGCAGTGAGAGTGGCACTCTAGGGGAGTCAGCAGATACCTGCCCCTTCCCCATCAGAAAGAACCCACACAATGATAAATTCTACTGAATTATCTTCAATTGCCATAAAAAATTATCAACTTTCCCAAATTCTTGCCTATTAGTTAACAGAAAACAATCAAAAATCCTGTGTCCCCCCTCTTTTTTTTTATTTTTTTGAATGTAGGACTAGATCCTGAAGTATTTTCAGAGCTTGCTTCAGGATCCTGACCCCAAGGCATCTTACCATCACATCTGAGAAATTCTCATTTCTTGTTTTGCATGGTCATACTGCTCTCTGGAAAAAAGGTACCTCCTTCCTTCTTGCTGTTTATATTAAAAAACAACAAACAAGAATATAAGATAATTAGATAATTTTTAGGAGTGGTTTTGATGAGGGAAGTCATGATTAGTATAATCTCTAATGTTAACAACTATTGAGCGTGTGAAAGATTTTAGCAGAAGGGAGCTGAGTGCCTTGAGAGGTTTTCCTAGCAGGGAGTTCACACCATTAGATTTAATTCATCCTATGGATGTGTGAATTACATTTATTTTTTTCCCTGCTAGTTGGATAATAAGGCAATAAAGCATTCTGATGTGTTAATGTGTCAGATTGGAATGTGTTGAACTGGGTGATGAAGATGACTTAAAAAGAGATTTTCCAGTAGTGAAGTTGGGCTGTCTGAAACCAGTGGTTTGAAAACACAGTAAAGGTAATGGACCATTAATGATGATGGAATGATATAACTGAACTGATTGAATAGGGTTTTGTGAGCAGTGGTAATATACAGTATAATTTATACAGATTATATTGTTTGAGTTCTCAAATGATACTTTCATTTTTAAGAGAGGTTCTCATGAATTTTTTTAAGATTTTCCTTTTTTTCCATCGTTTTGTAAAATATCGAGGTAGTATTCACAGCAAACTAACAAAACATCCCTTTGACTAACACAGAATTAATCCTAGACACAAAATTATATCAACGATGGGTACTGATTGCCGTTGATATAAGTCTAAACCTGTTTTCTAACTACTTCCTTCAATTAGTCAGAATAAAAAACATAAATCAGACTGCATGAAGATAATCTCAGTTCAATCCAGCTATCACTTGGTAACTGAAATAACTATATTTTGATTTAAGAGGTTATTTAATTTTACTTCATCTGTCTGTGTTACTCCAACAATCATTTTCAGCTGACAAGGAACAGCCCTGGAAAGTGTTGAGATATATGTATGTATGTGTATATATATATAAAATGTATCTAGCTATATCTATACCTCTGTATCTCAACATATATATGTTATATATCTCAAGATATATATCTATATATTTATATCTCTATATCTCTATATCTCTATATCTCTATATCTCTATATCTATATCTATATATCTATCTATATATATAATATAATTTTAGATATATATATGAACATGCACAGCAGTTATTTTTTCAACCTGTTTTTTATGCAAGCTCAATTAAGAGGAAATGAAATGTTAAACCTATGAAGGCAAGCCAAGGGGAAAAAAAAAAAAAAAAGCAACTTTAAAATGCACTTTCTATGATGCTTACCAACTTCTTTCCCCCTGCAGGAAAACGATATTTTCTAGAGGAAAAAAGAGAGAGCCTTATGTACTTTTTCCTTTAATGGCATTAGGAGATTTGAAGCAGAACTGTCCTGCTGAAGAAATTCAATCTGGCTCCAGGGGAGCAGCCTGAGGGTACAGGAATGGCTCTGGTGAGCCAGGAGCTGTTGTAGTTTCCACAGGAACGAGAGCAACCAACCAACCAGGCAGGTGTGGACAGCAGATAGGAAACAAAGCTGTCCCTGAGCCATGAATGTCACCAGTGAGGTGTGAGACTCCTCCTTTGCAGGAAATTCTATTTGCTCCGTTCTTTTGCCATCGTGTCTATCATGTCTTCCCAAACACACGCTGATAACTGGAATAACAAAATAGTGCCAACACCTAAAAAAGAAGCTCCCTCAGAAGTGAGGGCTTGACTAAGCCCAGGAAGCTTAATGTGGCGTTTGAAGCCTCTGATGTGGGTGGGAATAAAACCCAAGAGCGTGGATAAATTTCAAATATGAAACAGGACTTTAAATGCAATCTTCTTTGAGAAGGGTGGAGAAATCAAGAGTGTTCATAGTAGAACATTTAGGAAATGAGTCCTGGGCGGAGGAAACATTGGGATATAGAATCATAAAATCCCAGGATGGTTTGGGTTGGAATGGACCTTAAAGCTCAACTTGTTCCACCCCAGCCATGGCAGGGCCTTTCACAGTTTTCTGGAATAGTGCAGAGACGTTTCACACTCACGCATGTTCCTATATCATAAAATCACAGAATCCTGGGTTGTAAGGGACCCCAGAGCCCACCCATTCCCACCCCAGGCACGGCAGGGCCAGCTCGCAGTGTCCCAGGAGCTGCCAGCCCCAATGTCCAGCCTGGCCTTGGGCACTGCCAGGGATCCAGGGGCAGCCCCAGCTGCTCTGGGCACCCTGTGCCAGGGCCTGCCCACCCTGCCAGGGAACAATTGCTGCCCAAGATCCCATCCAGCCCTGCCCTCTGCCACTGGCAGCCATTCCCTGGCTCCTGGCCCCGCAGCCCTTGGCAATTGTCTCTCTGCACCTTTCCTGCGGCTCCTTCGGGCCCTGCGAGGCCACAGGGAGCCGAGGCCAAAGCTTCTCCTGTCCGGGCTGAGCAATGGCAGCTGTGGCAGCCTTTCCTGGCAGCAGAGCTGCTCCGTCCCTCTGCTCATCCTGGAGCCTCCTCTGGGCCGGCTCCAGCAGCTCCAGCTCCTTCCTCAAGGCAGAAGAGACCTTTAGATATTTAGGCAACAGTGGAAAAGTTGCATTTGGAGTGCTGGTGGTGTGAAGATGATTTTTTCTAAGTGGAATATCTGAAGGAAAATATGCATAGCAATTTTAGCAATTAACACATACACTTAGAGTCCTGAATTTGAGAGCTTTGGATCCCAAAGGCTGCTTCCCCTTGACAGCCATTGGATTGTGATTCACTTTTTTATATCACAGGAGGGAGGAAAATCTCAATAATCAACAACGTGTACCCCAATCAAAAACACATTGCTACTACAGTAAAATATATGTAAACTCACACTCTTTTACCAAAAACATGAAACAAAAAGGAATGGGTGCCTCCCCTCCCCTTTTGAATGCAGGAATATGACTTCTCATGCTTTAGAATGGCATGAACAGCCAAGAAAAGCCCATGGTGGGTTTCCAAGCCCAGCTTTATCAAAAGCCTTGAAAACATTTCCATCACTGGGTGGATCAGAACATGCAGAGTGCAAGAAGCGAGACTGCAGATTTGAAAGTGGAAGAGGCTCACCTGTGAATAACTCGTAAACAAATATTAAATATTCACTTTATAAAACAAGAAATCATCTAAATTTGCTGATGAAAAACAGCATATGAGGCGGAGCAATAGCAGAAATACAGTGTATTTTGCAGAGTATCTCAAGGTAACTAGCATTTTTATCAGGAATTTTTTTTAAAAAAGAAAAAAAATCCCATTTCTACTTATTTACTACACAAAATAAAAATTAAGACAGCCTTAAATATCAGATGTTTCATTGGGCATTTGATGATTCTTTGGCATACCCAGCCATTTTGAAAGAAAAGCCAGTAAAACCAAGTACAAAATGTGATAACATGAAAAAGTGAAGTAAAATTATTAAAGGACACAGATATTAAACCATAAAGGTCTCACACTAAATGCCAATCTTTAGGGATCACTGAAGCTGTATGTTTACAAATGGTATGCTATATTAACAATCCGAAGTAATTAGATAAAGACAGCAGAACTACAATTCTTTTGGGGGTAATCTGAGCATGTTGAAATAAACTCCTACCCAGTCAACAAGGAAAGAACCACTGTGAAAGCAGCAAACATATTCATAATGGCAGCTGCAAGTGCAGAGATGGGGACCAGAGTGTTAATAATGTAGCTAGTAAAAGATAGACATGTTTATCTGAGCACTGATAATGCAGTTTATGATATACTTTATCTATTGAGCACAAAGTGTGAAATGCTGTGGGGGAGCTAATAGTATGAAACGTGATTAATCAACACACAGCAAGAAAAGCATCTGCTGTGTAAAAAAATGTCCACTAAAACATCGTATAATGTGTGGTAAAAATAAAAATAAACAGAGCTGATAGTCAGACTGCTAGTGTACGGGAAGTTGAATAAAGATGAAGGAAAAGAAGGCTAATGAATGTAGATCAAAGCAAAATTACATATTTATTGATGAAAATAATCTTAGCAAGAAGCCCAAAACCACTGTGACAATGAAAACTGATATTTAGCATAACTGACAGTTTAACACTACTTTTCTATTGCTAGGATGTAATCCATGCACCCTACCAGAGAAAATCAATTACTACTAAACCATGTATTTGTGGCTCAGGAAAGGTGCTGCTTAAAAGAAAAATGGAGTAATCTGAATCCCTCTTACTTTATCATCTGTGCATGGCACAGCAGAAAGATTCCAGTGCACAAGTAATCATATATATAATCCCATTATATCAGCTGTGACTATGCATAAGTTACATGTATATCATGGCCTATTTTAAAATATATCTACTCTTTGAAATAGGCTGCATGTGTCAGAAATTCTGGCAGGACCCAGGGAGCCTGTTTCACATGTTCTGAGGGATGCAAGCAAATAAACACACAAACACTTGCTTTTTACTCATTCTGTTGCTCTTAGTGAAAAAATTTCTGTACACAAATACATACAAGAAATTGACAATATATTTTAAATTTTATTTAACTGAAATCACAGCCTTTTTAAAATTTTAATTTCCATTTTTATTTAATCACACACCTCTTTAACGTTTTGGTTTTGTTTTAAACAGGATTTTTTAATGGCAGTGTAGTCCCTCTGCTTCCAACAGGGGGGATTCCAGAGTGTGCTTCCAAACTGAAGATCAGACTTGGGCAGAGAACAGTGCAGTTCTCCTCTGGAAATGTCTCCCCTTGGCACAACAGTAATTGCTGCAATCTGGGGAATCCATCAGTGCAGAGAATTCATCAGTGTGCAGTTATGAACCTGCTGGACACCATATTATTTAGTGAGAAATGACTTTAAAAGAGAGCTCGGAGACCCTTTCTGGGGACTTTTCCTTGCAAGACCTGCAAGCCCTTAAACATGAACAGCTCAGCTCAGACTTGGAAATGCTGCAGAGCAACGTGGTTCCCAAAGCCTGGTGAAAACACCTGAGTTCAGCTTCTTGCTGGCTGTGGAATTAAACAAACAAACACACAAACTTTTCCAAATCAAGTTAAGAACTTATAATGTTCATGCCAGCTTACCCCCCAGCAGGGAAAATGATGCCCCTGATGACATCCTCATGGTAGGTTTGGGATTAGGAGTCTCTAAAGGGGGAAAAGAGAAGAAAGGTGAAGTTACATTTAATCAGATATGGCCAGGTGGATCTCATTTGAAACAATAAAATGAAAACAATTCTATAATTTGTGGGGGAAAGAAGTTTGGAGTGAAAGAAGCTGTCTGCAGACTTCAAGAACTTTCCAGAAAGCTGAAGAGAGAGCAGCAGAACAGCTTTGTCTGTGCTCAGAAAACAATGGGGATAGAAGATGCCACCAACTTTGATTTAAAGAAGCTGGAAAGTGTTAAGTCATCAGAGATAGGTTCACTTACACTTCCTGTAACGTTGCAGAGGGAATAAGTTTACATCAGGTATTTAATAACACAAACAGAGCTTAGGCAGGTGAGATTTATGTTTAGATAACCAAATTTAGGATGACCCAGTGGTAAAATCTACACACCAGTACACAGAAAAGGACAGGGACACAGCTCAGCTGCTGCCATGCACTTGTGGTTTTTGACTCATTGCAATGGAGGCAGTTTTGATCTGTCACTGCCAGCACCCTCCCAAGAAATTCCTGGGTACGAGAGAGTTCCATTAAGTGGTACGAGCTCAGGTATATTTTGGGAGGAAAGAAATTTTAATTTCATGAATGAAACCTGTGCAATTTGTCCATTCTGGACAGAGAAAGAAGCCTCTACCTATTTTATTTATTGGTACAGGTGGACCCAGTAAATCCCACGAAGAGAGAATTAATGTTCTCTAAGAGCTGGGTATAATGAACCCAGCTTTCCTAAGGACAGAGCTACTGCAGGTGATTGATTTTCATGTCTAAGCAGTTGCAAAGAGCTATTGAAGTTTTACTCTTGGGTTGTGCAATTATAAATTCTACTTTTCCCTCATTTCCAGCAGTGCATGAGCTCAGCTTTCTTCATGTCCAAGGTATTTGCAGCCCATCTCCTTTCATCTCCTTCCTATTTCTGTAAATAATAAAAAACCATAATAACATGTAAGACCTCTATTATCTGTGAGATTGGGAAGAATCAGAAGTTATTATTGAAGGGGAGATGCTGATAAACAGACAGCCATTAATAACTGTGAAGAAACCAACCCAAATATGAGAAGCAGAAATAAGAAAATAGGGCAGAGTGTGGTATATATTGTTCCTTTGACAATATAATAACAGTATAATCTCTGCTTGTCACCTCTCTGAAATCCACATTGCTAAACTTATTTGACAATAGCCAGTGTATGTTTGCAAGTTATTACAGTTTCCAAATACTTCCAATCTCAATTTAAGGTCCTTAAGTCATTTCAACAGTAATATAGTCTTGAATATTTCTGAAAAACAGCCACAGGAATAATTTAAAAACAACAGTGAAGATGAACACTACTGTTAAATCTGATTTGTATGAATTTATTTAAATGCAAACTAACCATCCTTTGTATAAGGATATTTTAAGTACATTTCAGGCTACTTTTCAATCAGTTTTGCCAGTTAGTCTGGAATTGTCAAGGATTTTACTTCAGTAGATTAAAGGCTGAAGGTACATATCTTAATGTTTTTCATGAGCTCTCTAACAAGTTGCTTTTATTTTGAGCATTGTTAGACAAGACTTTTAGAATAAAAGAAATATGCATTCTTTTCCGAGAAAATATGGTTTTTCTTTTTCTTTGTGTTTATTAAGTTGTTCTTACAGTCCATATTACTTCAAGTACTTCATATTAAGACTCAATGAGTATGAAGGTAAGGCAGAAATAATGACATTTTTGTGCACTGAGAGATTTTATTTGTTCACACAAGCACGCCGATGGCATAGAAAAAATGGGGATCTCCAAAACCACTCCATCTTACAGATTTTTTTTACTTTCAAGGTTCTCTTTCAGGACTTTAGTCTTAAAAGTCCTGTCCCTGAGACAGGAATTTCAAGTCAATACCACGTCATGTTCCATGGATGTGCTCTCAGCTGGTGAGATCCCATGGGCAAGCATAACTTGAAGGTGACAGAAAAATTAAATGGAAGAGCTGGCATGGCAGGCTGGGTTCAAATGGCAAAAGGCAAAGTGTACTTGTAATACAACTCAGCTCTTTTTTAATCTGCACTTTGATGCTTTCATACCAATAGCTTCAGAAAATGGTTAATATTTGCTCAAGTGTATTGTCCTAATACTAAAAGAATGGTGGGGAAGAAATATGTTGTAGTTCAACGCACAGGGAATAGTGTAATGTTTTAGTAATCATTATTGTTTCTATTTACCATTATTTACAGAAATTGTAGCTCTTGCTTCATGACCTGCATAGTCACAGCTTCTCTGAGAACTACTGCAAAAGGCCAGTTTTGGTGTAAAATATGTGTGTACTTTTCCATAGGGCTGCAAAATTCTGTAGGAAGAACAATTAAAATGAGCAGGCTTCATTAAGTACAGAGGCTGACACTGCAGTCAAATGGCTGCATTTAGTGGCAAATTGTGCCTTAATTTTCCTCCTTTTCATGCTTTTTGTTGACATAAAAGGAGATCTTTTTAGTTGTTCTGGCAGTTTCTATCTGCAGACTCATTAGGCCTCTTTCTTACCTCTAAAACAAAATGGATTAGGCTTACCTCTATCAGAGTCATCAGAATTTAATATATGTTATGCTTTCCACTTATTTTTTTTCTTTTTATATCAGCTGGGATCTTTGCAGGACCTCTCTGCTTGTTTCTCATTCCAGGAGTGTAGAGGACTTTGCATGAAGATTGCAGCTCTTTAAACTTGTGTAGGTCAAGACCTTTTGGAATTAATAAGCGGATTTAAGGTCTACACTCTTACTGTGATTATATCTTCCATTTCATTGTACTACATGAATGAAACATCATGACAGACAAGCTGTAAACTTGCCTCTATATTTGATATTCTGTGTTTTGAGGAGCTGGTTCTGAGATAAACCTGAACTGTGACCAGGGTTGCCAAGCTGTGTGCAGGGATGTGAGAAGAATTCTTGTGTTTTCTAACCCTGAGCAAGAATTAATCATTCTCAAAGCTCTTGATGTGAGCTGTCAAAGGGTGGATGACATCAAATAGAATATTATTTACATAAAATGTGAAATTTTATAAACGTGATCTGTGTAAGAAAGCAGGTGCCTGAATCCACAACAGTATCAGGTTCAGTTTCCACATGCTTGAAATACATGAAGACAGCGGTAAATGTAAAAAATACTCAGTGTAGGAAAGAAATCCTAAAACACACTGAAAGGAAATCTTCCAATTCTTTATAAAAGTTGAATTAAAATAAAGTATCTTCATCATCATCATCATCATCTTCTTCTTCTTCTTCTTCTTCTTCTTCTTCTTCTTCTTCTTCTTCTTCTTCTTCTTCTTCTTCTTCTTCTTCTTCTTCTTCGTCTTCTTCTTCTTCTTCGTCGTCTTCTTCGTCTTCTTCTTCGTCTTCGTCGTCTTCGTCTTCGTCGTCTTCGTCTTCGTCTTCTTCTTCGTCTCCTTCTTCATCTTCGTCTTTGTCTTCTTCTTTGTCTTCACCACAACTGGGTAACAGAGATCATGAATAAAACTGGAGTTAGGTGTAAGAAAATATTTAATTTTCAGTGGCAAAAAGGGAATGGAAAATGTAAATTAAGAACATGGTCAATCTAGTTAATAAATCAATAGGAATGAATTCCTGACAATGAAAGAGAAGTAACCAACCATTTTGTGAAATATTCCTGTTAAAATATAGTGTCATCATAGCTGAATGCATCTTTAAAAGTGTTATGTAGATACACAGGATCCAAAATCAGTCTTTTCTTTTAGTTTCACCTCTTAAAAAAAAAAAAAAATATTATTACATTTGAGGCTTTCTTTTTTAAAGTTTTTGTTGTTTTACATTTTAATTTTTGAAATATTACTCAAAGTGAAAGCACCCTCTAAACCAAATATCTGATAAATTTATCATTTCACATCAAAAAAAAAAACAAACCAGGAAAATTAAAATACATCATTATTTTGAAAAGAAAAACTATAGAAAAAATGTAGAGACTTACACATGGTTTTATAATCCTTTGATAATGTGACAATAAATAGTACATGCATCAAAACCTTTGCTTTTTTGCTTTTTGCAAGTTTTATTCTGAAGGACTGAACTTCTGAAACCCGTATCTTTCTGTCTGTCCATTTGGCAAGTATTTTGGGTATTTGGATGTCAAAAACTGAAGATATTATGGTGGGAAGCCTGTAGCACATGTCATCTGCTGGTGGCACAGGCTGGGGTTGATGCTCTCCAAATAAATCCAGCAATTGCTTAAATCAATTTAAAGAAGCCTTGATTGTTCAGAATCTACTCTATTTTGCTCTCACTTCCAGGGATAATAATCACATCAGTGATTATAGTAGCGCAAAGTCCTATAAACTGATGATCCATTTAGTGAAAAAATGGCTGTAAATTCTAATCTGTTATGTTACTCTGAATTAAAAAAAAAATAATAATAAGCAGCCTTTTTACTACTTGTAATGACATCTTACAATATTAGCGGTTTAATTTTATGCTAACAAAATGAAATCTATTAATTTCTTCACAGAGTGTTGCATTCTACTCCAGATATGTTTTATTACAGTGTTATTTCCCTTTCTCTTCACAAGGTCTACAATTGTTTGCCATGTAAAATTAAATCTATTATCCCAGAAAATAATTTCTTTAAAGATTTTACAGTCTATTACATTTCTTCTTAAAACACAAGACAGTCTTTGTTTCTTTCCTTGAAACTGAAAATTATTTTGCCGAGGAAGTGATTTGCTGTTATTTAATAAAGAAGTTGAAACTTGGATCAGAA